GTGGGGGGTTGTGGGGGGGAGGGAGCGCGGGCTGGTGGGGGTGGTGCCGAAGTGGGATTGTTCTAATGTTTTCTCTGAATACTGTGTGGGTGTCTCAGTTTCCCCTATGCATTTCTCAAGTATCTAGGTGGTGGGATAAGGGGGTGCGATTGTTGCAGAGCCCGAGAGGGCCAGTGTGATGGTGTCTGCACAGAGAATGGCAGACACCCTGTTTCCTGGGCCCCTCCCCTGCAAAGGTGCCAACAGAAGGTGTTGGAGAACAAAGCGATCAGGCGACCTCCTGGCCTGGGAAAGAGACAAAGGGAGAGGAGGGGCTGGGGAGTTTCAGTTTGGAGCTGGCTGGGGAAATGGTGGGAGCCCCGGGGCTGGGGTCTAAGCTCCCTGCCCCCCAAGATGGACCTGACTGAGGGGTCCTGTTCTCTCTACCTACAAGCTCTGTTTTGGACTGTGTTCCTGTCATCTAATCAACCTTCTGTTTTACTGGCTGGCTGAGAGTCCCGGTGAATCGCAGGAAGTGGGGGGTGCAGGGCCCTGACTCCCCCACACTCCATGACGGGGGGAGCTGCCAGTGGGGGGGCTGTGGGGCAGGGGCTGAGCGCTGGCTGTGGGGGTGCCCGGGGGTGAGGTGCTGTGGGGCAGGGGATGAGCGCTGGCTGTGGGGGTGCCCGGAGGGGGGTTGCGCTCCGGCTCGGGGGGCACTGGCCTGTTTCTTGAGCAGACAGTGCAGCAGGAAGATGAAGAGCCCCTGCAGGCTGTTGAGGATGGTGAAGATGTAGGAGACGACCAGGCTGCGCTGGTTGAACTGGAACAGGCCGAAGATCCAGGTGGTGCCCAGGACGCAGAGCTGGGCGATGGCCGTGATGGTGAGCACCCTGCGGGGGAGGGGGAACCAGTCACATGGCCCCGCCCCTCAGCCACGGCCCAGCTCCCCCCTTGAGGCCCCGCCCCTCAGCCTCAGCTCCTGTCCCCCTGGGGTCCCACCCCTCAGTCACAGCCCATCTCCCCTTCTCTCCTAGGGCCCCGCCCCTTGAGTCAGAACCACCCCTCCCCCCTGCATGTGACTGACATCTCCTGCACACAGCCCCCCCTCCCCAGCAAGTAGGGGGTGGGGGAAAATGTCACTCACCTGTGGCCCCCTCCCCCCACACATGGGGGGATGACATCTCGTTACTCATGTGCCCCCCCAGGTCCCCCTCCCCCGCAGGGTGCTCACCATCACGGCCATCGCCCAGCTCTGCGTCCTGGGCACCACCTGGATCTTCGGCCTGTTCCAGTTCAACCAGCGCACCCTGGTCGTCTCCTACATCTTCACCATCCTCAACAGCCTGCAGGGGCTCTTCATCTTCCTGCTGCACTGTCTGCTCAAGAAACAAGCCAGTGAGCGCCAG